TCTGATAAAGTACGGGACACAAACCAACGATCTTAATAAATAAGTACGGACACACCCTACGGACATTACTGACTTAAGGTACGACACGACCCGTATGAACTTCTGATAAAGTACCGACACAATACTCACGACTTGCTGATGAAGCGCGGGCACGACCCACGGCCCCTCACAATGTACAGAAAACCGATGTGCGACCTCTGCTTAGAATACAGGTCACGGTCTGCGAGCTCGCTTGAGCATGAGCAACCGGTGGCTTTAAAATTGAAGGCCAACATCTCAGAAACTTCTACTAAATCATACATACCGGCAGACTCTCCGCGACCCCTGGATCCATACATGCCGGAGCGATTTCGCTTGAGACGAGCATTTTGACGTCTCTCTGTGCGGAAGTCATCCTTCTCAACGATCCTCGCGACTTACATCTACTGGACTGACGTGTCGTGGATTGACCGACAGATGATGCGTAACGCTTCCTGGCGTCGCCCAACCAGACACAGTAGAAGCTTCGAGTAGCGGCGCTCTGCGCAGCTTTGGATGAGAACAATTTGTGGGGGGTTGACCTAATTGGAGGATGTACAGGTGTTACTCTCCAGCGCCGTGATTGTGCGCATCGAAGCGCCGGCGTTCAACGGCCTGACGATCATCCGCGCGATGTGGACGGACAGTCAGCAGACTCAGGATGCGGTAGAGCTTTCTCGGTTACAGGCCCTTAGGCTGTTTCAGGCGATTGCTTGGCGCAGTCGAACGAACGTAGCACAGTTCACACGTAAGAGAACGAAGACTCTGATTTCACTGGAGAAACTGAGTTCCATGATGAAGTGCTGGCGATTCTGAGACAAAACCACGAGGCGGAACGGGACATTCGGATTGGCATCTTGACAAAAAGCTGCACACACCGTTTGATCGGGTTGAATAGTGAATCGCGCAGAGATTGGGATCGGTTGAAAAACGGAGAGTGGCGGTAGCATCCTTGATAGTGCCGTTACAATAAACGAAGATCAAAGTTATACAAAAGATGTTAAGAATTAAAGCTAAAAAAAAATAGAAGTAGGGATAGGAGATATGGTGTGATTGGCTCGTTGATAAAAACAGAAGCGCGCGATGCTCCGATTCGTCGGACAACGACCCTTCGCGGATATCTGATCCTGCATGAATACGAGAAGGCTGACTCCGGTCCTAAATACCCCGAGAGATTCGGGACTCGACTGACGGTATGTCTGCCGAAACCTTATATAGGGTCGGACACATTAATCGGCTCTTGAGTGTGATATAGTCGAAGGCGGCGCGGCGAGGACTGCCGACTGCATGCTAGGACAGAGGTGAGAATCCTCGGTTTAAAGCCTTATTATCGTGGGTCGTGTCAGTACTTTCTCAGAAGTCGTGGGTTGTGTCCGTACTTTATCAGAAGTCATGAGCTGTGTCCGTACTTTATCAGAGGTCGTGGGCCGGGTCAGTACTATATCAGAAGTCGTGGGTCGTGTCCGTCCTTTATCAGAAGTTGTGGGTCGTGTCTGTACTTTATCAACGATCATGGGTCGTGTCCGTACTTGATTAGAAGTCGTGGGTCGTGTCAGTACTTTATCAGAGGTCGTGAGTCGTGTCAGTACTTTATCAGAAGTCATGGGCCGGATCGGTACTTTATCAGGGGTCGTGGGCCATGCCCGCGCTTTATCAGAGGTCGTGCCAGGCGGCCGTGCTTTCCCAGAGCTCGTAGGCCGAGCTCGCATTTTGTCGGAGGTCGTGAGCCGTGGCTCCCCTTCGACGGGGGTCGCGGGCAGCGGCTCCCAGGCCTGCAGACACATGGCGGGGTCAAACAGCTTTCTCGACGTAGAAACGGACACACTTGCAGCATTCATCCTGCCCTGCGGCATCCTCTGCGCCGCGCCCCGTCCGCGCCCACTGTTCACACCTGTCTTAAGACTGCTGCTGTTGTTGCTCTTGCAACTGCTGCTGCCGCGACTGTTAACACCTGCCTTGAGACTGCTGCTCTTGCTGCTGCTGCGACTGCCGCTGCCGCGACTTATAACACCTGCCTTGGGACTGCTGCTGCGACTGCCGCCGCCGCGACTGTTAACACCTGCCTTGGGACTGCTGCTGCGACTGCCGCTGCCGCGACTGTTAACACCTGCCTTGGAACTGCTGCTGGCTCGACATTCCTCTCACACTGTGACTCATCAATTCTGTCCGCCTCGTCCCACCTCGGTGTTTGGCACGTGAGTCGTGCTGTCTCGTTGCACGGTTCGTCACCCCGTCTCTGTCCTCGACCACCGATCTTGTAGATGAGAGCGACAGGTCAGGGTGTGGGAGCTCGCCGCTAGACCGTCGATCTGGGCAGGCTGCACGCAGCGACAGCAGCAACGCTGACAGCTACTGCTCCGCACGGGCGGCCCGTGCGTGAGGCGCACGCCGATGTTGCGGCAGGGACGCCCAGCAGGGGGCGCCCGAAGCATCCTCGTGTCAGCGAGGGTTCGCTGTCGGATCAGGTACGAACGGCCCTCGTTGGTGGATAGTCTGTTAAATATGTCTCATATAGGAACAGCTCTCGGTGGGTGCGATGGTACGTTAAAAGTGTGTCATATAGGAACAGCTCTCGTGGTGGGTTAGGGTGTTCAAAATGCAAAATGTGTCATACAGGAACATACCTCGGTGGGTGGGGTAGGGTGTTAAAAAAATGTGTCATATAGGAACAGCTCTCGTGGGTGGGGTAGGGTGTTAAAAATGTGCCATATTGGAACAGCTCTCGGTGGGTGGGTAGGGTGTGTAAAAATGTGTCATATAGGAACAGCTCTCGGTGGGTGGGGTAGGGTGTTAAAAATGTGTCATATAGGAACAGCTCTCGTGGGTGGGGTAGGTGTTAAAAATGTGTCATATAGGAACAGCTCTTGTGGGTGGAATAAGCTGTTATAAAAAGTGTCCCTATGAACACGCCATTCTC